CGGGCTGCCTATACAAACGCATTATGTCTCGGGTTTGTTCAAATAATACATGAAAATTAGAAAACTTGCTTAAGTTTGTGTATTATTTCACTGTTGAATCCCCAAAGCTTAATATTTGCAATCCATGTTTACTTTCTAGACTAGTGTTATATAAAACGAATTTGTAGTAATGGCGTTATCAGACTCTATGCCTCCTTGAGGCTGTTGTTAATGAAATCTGTTAACAAGCGGTGATCTCTGAGATGCCGGATACCTTTGAGAAGTTAGTAGCTCACAGAAAAATAGGCATACCCCGGTATTCGAATAAATCCTCGAGACGTGCTATTCGGAAACATTTCTTATGAACCGGAAATTTGCATCGTCTGAATTCTTAAAAAAGAAGCTTTAAGGTGATAGACTACCTCGGGCCTCTAAAGTCGTGGTGCTCGGAGAAATCTAATAATCTACAGTAAGTGAGCTAACACATAAATTCCAATAGGTTTTACAGGAAACACGCTGTTTCGCAAATGCAGCCTAAACTGCGGCCCACAACGGCTTACAGCAATTAAAAAATGATTGCTCTTCGGAGTAGGATATATTGCGATTCGTTAAGTAAGATGACGTCGTTTAGAAATACCAGCTTGCTCGAAAAGCCGGAAAATTCCAAAAGAGTGAAAATCGGACGTACCAAGTAAAATTAAGTTTTAAATGTTGAGGAAGACAGTTCATTCAAAATACCGAGTGATTAAAGCAGCACAAGTAAAAGTGCGTTGGAAAGAATATATTAGTAGAAGGCTTTCTCAAGATTAAATCTACTCAATGCCTCAAAATAACTTGAACAAATATATGCTTAACCACCATCTCCTAAAATTTACAAGAATTCATAAACATAGTATATCTTAGTATATTAACAATGGTTTCTGCTAATTTCGTAGCACAAACAAGCAGCAATTCGGTTCGCAGATTGCAGGCTTGTACCTCACTAAATGGCAGACATGAAAAAAGGAAAAGCTTTCAAAGTAAATATAGGGAGACTTCCGTTGGGTGGATAGGTAGTCCATCGGTAGACCATCGGTAGTCGGGATCTGTCTCGCAGTACCGCCTTACTACTGAAATACTGAACGGTGCTTTTAATTTGTAGCATTTCTCCTAAAAGCCACAGAATTTGACTTCCTCTGAATTTTTTAGTTACGAACACTTTTCACCAAACAGCATGTATAAGCATTATAAGTGGTATATTCGTGAACGGATGCGAAGGTTTTAAGTTTAAATTTTTGTAAGGCCAGTCAAGCACTGGGAAAAATTTGTGTAATTTTCTGAGCTTATTCTCTCGCACAGGAGCCAATCGGTGGCTTTTCCCGAAACAAGAGACCAGAACTAGGCATTGCGTATGCAAGCCAAGTCAAGTCAATTTTATTAAGGGAAATATAGACAAACAAGTTCGGACTCTCTATTGGTACACATTAGTTAACAAATGCATCGGCAAGTCATTGATTAATGTCAGATATCTCAGTACGAACACAAAGTGTCTATACATCGATTGCTTGAGTTCCCTGGCGAAGACCAAACTTCAGGCAATCCTCGGCTTGACTTGTTTCCCGCATGTGCACTTTTTCAATGGTGGTAAAATTTAACTGTTTATGAATATTCAAATAAAATGGGCGTTAGTTCACGCTTATCTATTTATTTATTTCCTGAGTTTTCTGCCTATTTCGGTCTAGATCCAGGCGGCTGGCTGATTAACGGGTATTATATTAAACTTATTAGCCATCAAACAGAGTAAACAGTTTAAAGTGCGGTGAGGCACGTAAGTCACTTTAAATAGTTATTCCATTTGAATACTGCTTCTGGCACATGTAAGCATTCTTCTTCCAGTCAACTGCAAAATTCTGCGTATGATGACAAGTTCCCCGATAAAATCCCCTTATGTCAGTAACCAGTTGGAGTAATTCAAGCTGCTTTTCTGTTTTGCTAATAGACGCATTTATTCCCTAGATAATGACTTGTCATCGACGCTGCACGTTTTCCTTCGCCTTCGTGTTTTCTCTTTTGATGGTATCGCTGATGCTTGTCGAATTACTCACACCATTTATGTGGTTCCCTGACCTTAAAAACCCCGACCCCAAGATAACAAAACCGACAGGACTTCTTGTTGCCTGTGACAGTAAGCCGCTTCGTATTTATACAAACTTTTATGGCAAACGTGCTTCTGTTACTACCCCTGAATTGAACATATGTAAAGATTGCCGCTACTTTATGTCATATATTTCATCATATACTAATTGAGAGAACCTTCCCTCTAACCCTCATTCAAGTGCACATACGTAAAGCATTGGGTTTGAAGGCGTCATAAAATTGCCGGAATAGAATGAAGCCAACGGGCACTCATCGTTACCGGTGAGACAAAAGTGTCTGATAGTGGGGGTTGCCAAAATACCAATTTGTAGTTGAATTACTGTGTTATAGAATTTTTCTTAATTCGATTGCTGCTAACAACCAAAGCCGATGTATCCTCAATTAGGCAATACTTTCTTGTTTTTTTCCTAAGTTACTCAGCCTCCAAAACACGTAAAGTAATTTCACCCTGCTTGTAGTTTGTAAAAGTGTTGATTGTACAATTTAAATGGCAATGGTTTCCTTTGCAATCCACAAGAAAATACCGTTAAACAAAATGCTGATACTTAATGTAGCTCATGACGTTATTAAAGGAGAAAGCTATTGAAAATCCTGCTAGACATCAAAGGCTTACGATATCCCTTAAGATCTAATTCCGTGCGCCTACAAATACTCACAAAAGTCAGTGACTTCCAAATATTTGACCAGTAACCTATCACACACACGTTATTTGCTATCGCATCTATCCGTGTGCGCTAATGATTCAAAATGTCAATAATGAAGAAGCTTCATGATGTGGATATGAAGTCACGATGACATTTGCTTCGTTAAATATTACTGTCGGTCACTTACGTATGTCAAAATTTCTGCCACATGTTCACCTGTTTCGAAATGCAAGTTTTATGCATCGTTTAATCATTCACTGATTTTTTTGTGCACTCACTGATAAACTGGCGTTTTCGAAAAGGTTTCATTTTTCAAAGTAAATTATCTTTGGTATGATCACAAGTTATATTTGTCTGATATTTGTCTCGCAACTTTAAAAGACAAAAACAACGAAGATGTGAGCAGTGGCCCTCAAAAAGCCGAACATTTTTCAGAATTCTTCCAAGATGTCTATAACTCGGAGCCACTTCTCAAGCCATACCCTTTGTCACATGCCGTCAACAACTCGATTATAAACACTGTATTACTTACAGCGCAGACAGTTTTGGCAGAGTCAAAGAAGTTCGATCCTGTCAAGTCACCTGAACCGGATGAGATCCCAGGTGTACTTCTACGTGAACTATCTGAAGAATTAGTGGAAGCACTCAGTATAATCTTTCGAAGATCGCTGGAAGCTGGTAAACTACCTGGAACATGGAAGTTGGCAACTGTCGTACCCAACCATAAAGGAGGATCACAACTCTATCCCACCAACTACCGTACGGTTAGTTTGACGTGCATCTGTTGTAAGCTGATGGAAAGGATAATTAAAAAATTACTTTTATCGCTCGATATATTTCGTCGCCAAATCAGCTCAGTCCAGCATGGTTTCTATGAGAAGAGATCTTGTATTACAAACCTTATCACAACGCCAGAACACTGGGCAAAACCCATGGATAAAGGACACCCAGTAAATGTTATTTACTTTGACTTCACCAAGGCATTTGATCACGTTCCACATCAGCGCCCTATCCGAAAACTGACCGACTTTGGGATAACAGGGAATCTCCTGAACTGGATC